CCCAGGAGTTTAGATAGTTGACACATCATATGACTCTGTCTCTGTGTGTTTTTAAATCTGAATATTGATTTCATTTCTTTTGTAGGGGCTGGTAGATATTTCAGTTGATACAGAAAGTAGGTGGATGAGGTGGATTAGAATATTTGGATAGCTCATGAGCAGGAATGGTTGTCCACAAAGGTGGCCAAGGAAATCCCTGTGACCAAAATCACCCACTGAAGCGAGCATATCATGATGTGGAGAGTTAGTCCTCTTACTGGTGTATTTGGGTTTTACACAAAGGCCATGCTGATTGGCACAAAATCATAACCAGGAAGTTCATGGCTCGCAGCTTCCTGACATGCAGCGTTTTGGCTCCCTGAATTCTTACTCAGTAGGAGAGACTTAGAACCGTAAGTATGAGACTTTTTTCTCCTCCCTCTAGCTTTTCAACAATATGGACTTTGCATTGATACATTTCAATGATAAATCCAGATTAATGTAAACACTCCAAACAGTGTACTATCTTGGCAAATCAAGTAAAGTTTATATTTCTAACCTCTGAATGTTTTCTAAAATGCACAGAGGAAATTTATCCGGTCAAGAGTATAAACCCGAGGGTCTCTTAAACATGTCTTGAATTTAGGCTGCAAACCTGAAACCATCACAGTGTCAAGGGATGGGGACTCGGCCCATGGGCCTTCACACCTCCCAGCTCTGGTATTTTTCTATTTTCTACTAAATCTCTACTTACCGATATAAATTCAGGTGCCGAGAAGACACAGATGGATAAGACAAGATTTTTAGTCTCATAGAGAAGACGAATGTGTAGGCATATAGTAGCAATACATAAAAGCACAGATAAAAATCAGAAGTGGATCACAGAAAGTCATAATTAATCTTGTTTGTGAAGAGATGTGATTGTGACTTTCTTCTGAAGGAGGTGCTTCTGAGCTGGACTTGGTGAAATAAGATTTCACATGTGGAACCCTGAACAAAATTGAGTTCAGTTTTTTCCAGTTCAGGGTCTGCTATCCAGAAGAATTCAGGGCATAGAATAGTGCATTTAAGGAACTATAATAGTAAGGGATAATGTTGACACGTGAGGCGTGAACATGTCATTGGGGCAGCAGTGGGAGACAGAATTGGAAATTCTACTTTCATTCTTTTGTAATTTACTTTCAATAGGGCAACCAGAGTTGGCCTGGTAAAATTGACAATACAGAAGTCATATCACATCCCTCAGCTAAAAATCTCTCAACCAAAATTGATGGAAGGAAACATGAGGAAAATCCTGAAGATATTGGGACAAGCAAATTTTTAGAAGATATCCAAAATACAGATAACAAAATTAAAGCTAGACAACTTAGAATTATATCAAATTAAGACGTTTTTGTGCATTGACAGAATAAAATCAGTAGAGGGAACAGCCATCCAAGAGGGTGTAAAAGTATTCATAAACTGTTTGACGAAGGATTAATACCCAGAATATGTGAGAAATCTAGAAAAACTGAACAGCAGAGCAACAACCGAATAAATGGATCAAAGAGTCTAATAGGCATTTCTCAAAAGAAGAAATAAAATTGGTCAAAATATATAAGTATATTTTTGAAATGCCCGATATTGGTAATCATTGGGAAACTGCAAATCAGAATGACAAAGAGCACATTTAGAAGAGCTATTACTAAAAAGACAAAAGTAACATGTGCTGTACGTATGTGGGAAAAGGAGAAGTTTTGCATACTGTCAGTGGAAGTATAACTCACTGATCACTCTGTGGAAAAGAGTGCAAAAATCCCTTTAACAGCTATAACTAGAACCTCCCTATGATCCAACAACCCCACTACTCCCACTACTTGGCATCTATCAAACAGAAATGAAATCATTAAAGCAAAGAGATCATGCACCACTGTATTTACTGTAGAATTACTCAAACTACCCAAGTTAGGAGTTGACCAAGATGTCTAATAACAGCCAAAAAAGAAAAAAAGAAAAAAAAAGGACAAAATTCAGAAAAATAGATGAAACTGGAGGACATTATATTAAGTGAAATAAGCCAGAGACAGGCAAATGCTCTATATTTTCATCTATGCAAAAGTTAAAAACAAACAACCCCCCTCTCCCCAAAAACACCCCAGTGTATCAAAGGATGGAATAGTAATTGCTAGAGGCCACAAGGAGATTGAGGATAGATAAGAAGAGGTTTGAAAACAGGTACTGAGCCACAGTTCAGGAGAAGAAATCCTCCCCAATGCTACACGGCACAATGGGGTGACTAAAGTTCACAATAATAAATTAAATGTCTTCTGAGCAAATAGAAAGTGAAAATCTCAGGTTCCAATCACAAAGTACTAGCAACTAGAGGGAAATGTTAATAGTCCTGGCTTCATCAGTACACGTTGTACACATGTATTGAAATGTTTTACAATAGTCTATAAATATGTACACTTACTATTAATCAAAATGCTTAAATTTTTAAAAAGATCTAATAAAATAAAGTAACACCATTGATACAGTAAGTAAATGCCTACCTGTGGGACTGGAGTATCAGACTCCAGTGTGCAGGAGAAAAGCTGATTGTAATAAGGACAGTTTGAGAGAGTCTTGACTGCCAATGCCAGGGATTTTAGCCTTTGACCTGTTGCCCATGGAATGGGACGTTTTAGAGCAGAGGAAAAGTGTGCTATTACCAGTGGCTTGAAAGTTAATGTGGGTGATTGTACAGAGGATTGTTACAGGGAGAAGAGACTCAAGGGAACCAAGTGCCAGGTGCATGGTGACTGCACCCATTCAAGTTGGAGGAAATACTGAAAATGAATATAATGTAGACAAGCAGGTAGAAATGGTTCATGGGTGGATCTAAAAATACTCACATCCTAATTGTGACTTTTTAGGGCAAAGACAAGCCTAAGCTGACTCTAAGTCTTTTGCATAAGAAGACTTGGGTAAAAGATGATACTTTAATCAAGGAAGAGGGGTGCCAATAGGTATACAAACTGCATTGTCAGTTCTTGCACTTGGGGCTAGAGAGCACTGCTGAGTGTTTAGATTTGATTTCCACTTTCCAGAAAGGTCGGTTAGGAAGCTGTCTGGCTAATGTGGCTGTTGGATGCCCAGAGCTAATGGGGAGACAGTCTTTAATTCATAGAAAATGAGTGTAATGAGATCAAGATGAATGACATCAGCAATCAAGGGTAATGGATCAAGATGAGGTCATTATCCTGATAGTGGCACTAAATGGGACATTTAAACAGTGGGGACTCTGGTAGGTAGCAAGATTCTGTGATCAAAGCCAAGGAACAGGAGTCAAGGGATCCAGAATGAGGAAGCATGACTTGGGCCCAGTGGGGCAGACTGTCCAGCACTGAACTCTCTGTCTGCTAGAAGATGAGTGGACATCAGGGGCCACAAGAGGAGGGGATATTTTTGAGCAGTTCCCTTCAGCATGGTCAAGTCTTCTTTCTTGAAAAATGAAATCCATGATTTCATATTTCTATTACTAAGTTCCTTACTGTGGGGTCATTTTGATATTCATACTGTTTGGACAATTTTACACCAAGAATAAACTTATCTCTTTCTGAGACTGGAGAGTTGGATGAAAGAAAATTGTCAGGAGAAATGCAGGAATAATTTACCTGTGCAATTTCTTCTATCACTTAAATATCTAAGTAATAGAAATGGAGATTCATTGACTTTCTTTTCTATCCCACTGAATATGGCCAATCCCATCCATTTATATTCTCACTAAATATTTATTGGAAGATCAGACACTGGGTTAAGCACTAAGGATGCAGTAGTGTGGAAGAAAGGGATAGTTCAAGTTTTAACAGAGAAAATGGATTATGATGAAGTGCTGTGAAGGATAGGGGATTCAAGGGAACCAAGATGGTCTGGGCTCCAGACAAGCCTTCCTAAAATAGAGCAGCCTTTAAATCAAGGACTAGAGGACTAGAGATGCTGCCCAGGTGAGGAGAGGTGGTGTGGGATAAAGTAGAGCAGGCTTGATTCAGTGCATGAAGATCTGATGCAGGGAAAGAGTGGAGAATGAGAAACAGAAAAAGGTACAAAGTCAGGCTGGAGATGTCAGCATGGGCCATGTGGAGCATTGGGAATAGTACTGAATACTTTATCCAGACCGCCATGCTTTGTGGCCACTGGTCCAAGAAGTCATGATCACTGATGTCTTTTCCCATGCTGGCTGTGACTGAACAAGGTACGTGACATCTCATGGAAGACCCCATGTGTAATATCTTTCTCAGAGTCAGGGTCATCATTCATGAAAAAGGAGAATTGTCAGTTGCAAATGTTGGAATTTTTTTTCTAATATTTTTTACTTGAATTTGGAATCATTTCAGTAGTTTCTGCACATTGTAGTATAAACTTCATCAAGAACCACAACTCCAAGTTTATTGTCAACATCATTTTAATAGAATCAGAAGTATGCTTTCCAAATGATATGAACAAGATTCACCTTGCAGCATTTTTAGCATGTTCTAGAGGGCCCAGGAATGGTCCTGCCACACATGCCATAGGAAGTCCATGTATTAAGAAGACTTGCCTACGACAGTCCTCCTTCAAAAGCTGTAGTCACAGTGGTAACTCCTCACACATTGAAAAGGGAAGCAAGCAGGTGGAAAGAATGGGTGTAAAAGATACTAATCCTTGATGATACCAAATAATATAAACCTTGACACATTAAACATATGGAGGCAAATATTAGTTTTTTGATGCAAACATATGTCAGAATAGTAATTTTGGTGTTTCAGTGTTTTGATAATGAGGTTAGCCAATGTATGTATGTATGACGTATTTATTTTCTTTATTTTCCATTGGAACTTTTTTTGAAAAATTAAGGTTAAAATAAATGTATAATTTCATAAAAGGATCTGGCATGTCTATTCAATGAAACACGATTATTTAAGCAATCATGTCTTCATTTTGGCATGGTTTTGTACTTTATCCTATTCTTTTACTTGATAATCCTTGATATTTCTTATTGTATTTTTAAATGTCATGATCATGTGCTCGCTTCGGCAGCATAAATGCTAAAATTGGAATGAAACAGAGAAGATTAGCATGGCCCCTGCACAAGGATGATCAAACGTGTTGGTGTTATCCATGGATAGTAGCTAGTACGGCTTCTAGTTCAAAAATTATAAAAGATGCTCCCTGTAGGTGAATGGAGTGTGAGAGGATACTTTGTGTAGATAAATAAAATTATGCAAGTGTCCTTCTAAAAAAGATCCCTTGCTTACCCTTTCCCTTTGGCAGGTGTTTTGGTAGAGTGGATATATTTTGATTGTTTTCAGATTCAGCCTTGTCATAAGTCGATTCACTCAGGAGATAATCAGGAAATGTACCATGTTACCAATCTCTGGGTGAAGTAAAGGTATGCCATCCTCAGTCCTTCCCAAAAAAAGGACATGCACAAACAATTGCCTAAACCCTTTACATCTATGATGTGTGTGCTTATGTGCGTGTGTGTTCCATTCCTGATCCTATAGCATATGAAACTGTTTACAAGAAGCCCCCACAGTGAAATGGTACCAAACTATAATTAGGAACCCTTGAATTAGAAATAAAATCAACATCATATATAACAAGACGGAAACACGGTGACCAAAGAGACCAAGTTACATTTTAAATTAGCCAAAACCTGTGACGCTGTTTCCCGACATTTCAAGTGAGAAGGGAAGTACAATCAACTACTTGTTCTCAATATAGAAGTTGTTTAGTGCTGAATAGTCCAGGCTAGACCAGGTCATGCTAGCACTGAATCTTACAGACTTATCACATGAAACACTGATTTCTTACACTGTAAATGGGCTGCAGGTTATCCAGCTCTCGTAACAGCACACTGTGGTGATTCAGGACTCCAGCACTTCTCTTGTGAATTCCCATTTCAACTTAACAATTTGTGTTGGCCATTGGAAGAATACCTACAGAAGAGGGTCACAATGTACCCATTCCTTCTTGTGAGCAACAGCTGATCTGGCACTTTGGTGTTGACAAGAAATTGTGGGAAATCAAGCCTGAACATGGGTAGCAGCCATGCCATGTTGGCAAGATTTGTGGGATTTGTGTTTTGTTTTGTGTTTGGGAACAGGAAGTCCCTACTGTTATCATTGTTATGTTTTCTATTTAGTGGAGTTGCTGAGAGGGTTTTCTGAAAATCTTTGCTCATGTTTTGAGGGATTATAAAAACATGGAAATCATAGAAATTCTTTTTTTTTCTATCTCCAAGGCATGTATCTTAGCAGCCAGGGATATATCCTTAAATATTTCCTCAGGAAAAATTAATGAAGTGAATTAAAATAGACCTTCTTTCAAGCTGTTCCAAACGAACACATTTCATAATCTTTATCATGGCTTCCTTGCCTTTTGGGAATTTTATTTAAGTTATTAAAAAATTCCCTAAAATTCTCGGCTGAAAAATTGGCTTCTGTTTTTTCTACAAAGCTAACTCACCTGATTTGTCAGAACAGCTTGAAAATGAAGTGCTAACTGGTGGGTTTTATTGAAAGGAAACCAAGTGGAACAACATATGTATTTTCTTAGGAAACTCAAAAAGCTCACAGTCATGTGCCGTTCCTTGGGGTGAATTCTTTGTTATGAATTACAACCTGCTTACTGATGAGTTGTTAATAAAAAGTAGGCCTGCTGGGCCATTATTTTTTTCCACACAGTACACACAGTTTAGTTTTCCTTCTTTCTTTCTTTTTTTTTTTTCTGAAGTTTTCATTAATGCACTGAGTGTGAATAAATCTGTTTCTAATTTGTAATTGTTTTCCCTTCATCTGGACAATAATTTATTGCCAAATCTAACACTTGTCCATTATTAACATCCTTCCAACAGGAACTTATTTTAATTTTTCTTTATGTTTTTTAAAAAATATTTTCTTGGCCTCGTCTGCTTTGTTTTTGAACAGGAGATGTGTGACCTGTGGCAATGGAAGGATGGCAGGCATTTTGTTGGGGAAGTGACATCCAAATCTGAGCTCCAAGGATGCCAGAGGTAACCCAGGCACTCCTGTTCCTGCCCATGTTACATTGTAAGGAAAGCCAGCCAGCTGGAGCTGTTTGGAGCTGAGAAAATGGGCTCAGGGAAAATTGTTGAGGAAAACTAGAAACAGATGGTAACCTGAGGTGGTAGGACAACTTTATTTAGTATGGCGGTTTTAGTTTGTTTATTTATTTTACATGCGCATCTGGTCACACTGGGGAGTCTCTATGCATACTCATTATTATACTGTTAATAGTATATCTTATTTGCCAAGGAATATTAGCAATTAAGTTCACTATGTATTCTAGTACATTCATATTTTAGTGGGTCTTTGTGAGGCGTGCTAGTGCTTAGGATTTTATATGGAAAGGGCAAAGAAGCCACTGTTTGAAGTTCTAGTGGTGTGGAAAATGTGTGTCTACCAATTAAGGATGTTAAAGTGGCTCCATCCCTCCTAAACTTGGTGGGTTGTCAATAAACAGGCAGCAGGGTGCTAATACATTACTGTGGTCGCATTCTTGATTCTGGACACATTCAAGGTTGCTGTGTTGCTTCCTTGTGGACACATGGATGATGAACACATTGGAAATATGAGTGTGGGTCTACAGACAGGAATTAACACATATCAATTAATGCCTCTTTTTCTCATCAAGATCTGCATTAATATTCAAAATTTATTAAAAATAGGTATGTAATTCAATTCAGGATTTAAGATATATGTTGCACAAATAACTTTTTCTTTTGGCTCCTATTGAATATAAATTTTCTCATTCTGAGTTCTTCTTATATTTACATTTTGGGATACTTATAACTCATGTGATGATTCTCACTGAGTTTGCCATGGTTCCCTCTTTGGGACTGGTCACTCTTTCATGATTTGTGGTTAATATGGTAGATTTGGAAAGTTTTACTAATTTCAATTTCATCCAGAAATATGACAAATCTTAGTATTGTCCAATTGAGTTCCCTAACCATGGGGAATCAGACTGAGTCTGTGCAAAGAATTGCTGCTTTAAATGTACTGGTTGTTCTGATGTTTGAATTGAATCCACATGGAAGTTGGTACTCGGGATTTTGCATTAGTGAGCAGGGCTGACAGTTATATAGTCACTTGTCCAAGTGCCTGTAAGGAATGAGAATTTTCTTGAAGAGGGTTCCAGTAAGGTAGGTGGTTGTGTGAATGTGTGTGTGTGTGTGTGTGTGTGTGTGTGTGTGTGTGTGTGTGTGTGTGTGTGAATGTGTGTGTGTGTAGCAGACTCTTGTAAGTATGTGCTACAATTATGTGAAACATAATTTTGTCTAGATAGCCCGTGCCTCTCAGAAAATAAAGATATTGCTCTCCTACAAAAGAGAGCAGATGCTTCTTTTGCATGGACTTGAGGAACATGGGTTCTCATCACAAAGGTGGATGTTGCTGAGAAATATGAAGTGTGACAGGTGGGAGTTGGTTGCCTCTCTGATCGCTACAGAAAATGGCAATGCCATCGCTAGGCCATTCCAGCCTTGCATTAGCACCACAGGAGAAGAGCACGAGGGGGTGACTTCTTGAGAAGTAGCATGTGGGATGAAGGAGCAGAGAGGACAAATGGAAATAATCTGGGAAATCTAAACCAAGGTTCTTAATGCCAATGTATTTCAGGAAGTCATATCTCTAGGAGAATATATATATATATACCAAAAATCTCAAATATTATTTTTCTATCAGTAGTTGATTATGTAGGATTCATTACATGCCAAAACACACTCTTCTTTCAATTCCTTTTTTTTCAATTTCTTTTCTATGAACTTTTTCCTTTTGCTTGAACAAAAAGTATATCACGACTGGTTATGACCAGAATATCATGCCCATTGCATGAGTAACACTGCTTATTTAGTAGGCAGACAAGTTTCTGCTTTAACTCTAAAAGATGAAAAGGAGCCTGAAGTTTGGAATCTGACCTTCTGGTTGGTGATAGTAGTCAGATTACTGATTCTGAGTCGTACAGAGAACTTACTTTCTGAGGACTAGAAAAAATAATGAATGTAAAGGTCATTTGGAGAGTAAGAATTTAAGAAAGCATAATAGCAAATCTGTTTCCTTTCACCTTGCTCTTCTGTGGAAAATACTGGTTAAGGATTGAAGATTAGATTGTATTTCCTTCTGCCAATGTGGGGCCCACCCCACGCTGATGGATTTTTCAGAAGTCTTCGTCCAGGTTTAGCGACAATGGTTCAGGGAAGTTTTCTTAGCCACCAAAGAGTGCTGGAATTTGATGGAGCACAAACTCATGTCTTCTGAAATCAACAGGGTTCTGGTGTTAGGGTTAAGTCAGTCTGGCTTCTTCATTACAAATGGAGCAGCCAGTAAATACAGGAACACAAATGACTCTTAGATGTAATATGCTTTTTAAAGGTGGAATAATATTACAGATTACAAAGGTGAACCAAAGAAAGAATTAAGGCAGCAAGAAGATATTTGGTTAAAGATTCAAGTCCAAACGAGGGAGAAGCCCTGTGAATTTTTCCCTTCCTTTGGCTGCAGGGGTAAACTGCTGGTGTGTGCTATGCTTCCAGTTTGCCAAGCAGATGCCACCCTCATTCCTTCCCTAAAAACTTTTTTACATAGTCTCAGCTTTCTCACCATAGGCAACCTGGATTACAAAATCGTCTGCAGACATGATTTATATAAATTTAAAAAATGGTGCATGTGTATTTGTGTGTTCATGCTGAACAGCACTCAATTCTTCCCTTTGACTCTGGTTTTTAGGACTTAAGCCCAGAAACAATAGGAGTCTAACACCTTACCATATGATCTCTTTCTTGTTTCTCTTTAAAACTGGTTTAAAAAAAAAAAAAACAGATTCCTTGAGTCCAAAACACTAATATGTCCTACACCTCCCGAGGGACTTTCTCCAACTCAGGCTTCTTCTTGGTTTATTGGGTCAAACCTTCTGAAACAGGACTGTGACGACACGTATCAGCTGGTGGTTGGATCTTCATGTCACGATTCTTCAAGTCCCAGAGCACTTGCTGTCAGGGTGATTTCCCTCTGTGCAGTGCTGAGTGCATGCGTGTGAAAACTTAAGTTTTTACTATCTCTCTCATCATCTCCAGAGGGAGTTCAGTCTCTCTGCTCTGTGTT